GTGCGTGTGCACACACCCCCGTGCCTCTTTACACCCACACATGAATGCTACCCTGTGTCTCCTCACACACAACCCTGGTCCTCTGCACACACACACACACACCTCTGGGCGTCTTTATACGCACACACATACTTGTGTGCACACATCCCTGTGCCTGCTCACTCTCACACACACACACAACTGTATGTCTCCTCACACATACGCAACTAGGGGCATCCCCATACACACACAAGCACACACACTTATCCGTGCCTCCTCATGTACCCACCCACACAGGCAACCCGCCCCCCCCGCCCACCATTCCTCCTTGAATACATGTGCACACAGCCAATGCGTGTGAGTGCCTCCTGTGTCACAACTGTGCCTCCTCACAGCCACACACCCACTGTGCCTCCTTGAGTACCCGTGCACACAGCCCAGTGCCTCCTCCCTCACACACAAATGCAAAGACACACCCCAGTCCTGCATCTTGTGCACACATGCACACACACTCACATACTTGCAGTACTGTGCCTCTTCATACACAAACATATATACATGGACACTCCCCTGTGCCTACTCATACACATATACACACACCAGTGTGCCTCCTGGAACTTGCGCAGACACACATACACACACACAAACACACACTTCTTTGCCTCTTCATACACACACAAATAAATGCATGTACACACACCCTGTGCCTTCTCACACTCACACACACAAACCCATGTGTCTCCTCACCCCTCCATGTTCCTCTTCTCACACAAACACACACACACATATACACATATACCCTGTTCCTCCTCACATACACATGAAAAAGCCGGTGCCTAGTCCCAAACACACACACGACACACCTGTTTTCCTCCTCTCTCTCTCACACACACACACACATCTGCACACACCACTCTTCATACAAACACACATGCATGCAAGTACACTCCCCCTGTGCCTTTTAACACTCACACACCCCATGTGCCTCCTCACACACACATAACTATGTGCCACCTCAAACAGACACACACACCTCTGTGCCTCTTCTTACACAGACATATAATGCATGCACACACTCCCTGTCCCTGCTCACACTCATACAGACACAACCA